TCATGAGCCCTGATGATAAATTCAGTTTATCACCTGGGTATTTTTTTCCTCCCTAGAAAATTCTTTTATTGGGCTGGAGTTGAAGCTAAGTGGTAGAGTGCTTGCCTAGAACGAGCGAAGCCCTGGGTTCGGGTCCTCAGCACCACATATAAATAAAATGAAGGTATTATGTCCAATTATAACTAAAAAAAAAAAAAAGAAAATTCTTTTACCACATTCACTCAACTGGAACTCCTCTTTTCAACTCTGATTACCAGTCTTGTGTCGTGGGCCCCAAGGCAACACTCACTGAGACCCCCTCTGATCTTCTCAATTGCAGGCAGGACTCCCTGCTCCCTGTAACCACCCCTCAGACCCAGGAATGGAGCCTCTTATGGCTCCCATCTCACCTTTCCAAGGCTTCTCATGTTTCAGAGCTCAGCAGAAGACATTGCAACTTCCCAAGTTCCCCTCTGCCCTGTGGCTCCTGAAACACCTCAGTAAAGCACCTTGGCCATGCCCCTGTGGAGAGTGGCCCTGGTGGCCAAAGGCAGGCACTGTCCCAACATTGCACCCCAGACCCTCTCTGTCCTTGGTCACATTCACACAGAAACATGAATGAACAGCAACAGAAAATGGCCTCAGAACAGAGGGACCAGCAGTTTTGCCCAGGAAGATTTGGGAGATGTTATTTATTGTGGTCACCGTTAGTTGGGACAAAATTGAAAACGCAAGATGAGTTTGGTGCTTTGGAAAGTGCACAAGCTGCCAGGGAACTCTGTGTTCCTTCATCACAAGAAATAACAGAAATTAATGAAGCACTTGCAGAAAATTCAGAGCTGTTCAACAAACCCCTTTATCAGCTCGTTAGCTGATAACAATGACATTGAGTAACCTTTCAGAACTAGATGCCTAGTAAGTGCAGAATATGAGAAATACATAAAATCTGTAAGCCTACTGAGGAGTGAAAGCAGGTACCTAAATAAACTGGTGTGAAATCACCTATTCCAGCATAGCTGTCTTAAGTTAGTGGTGGACAGAAGGGTTACAGGAACTGTTTTCAGGAATATCAATGGGAAAGAAACTACTCTCAACACTGCTCCTGGAAGAAAATCCTTCCCTTCCTAACAATTTCAGATAAACAAAATATACACCTTAAAAAAAAAAAACACCTTATGATTTTAAGAGCAAACTCTAAGCTCTGGTATTCAGAATTCATGAAATTATCCATGATCAAAACTACCTTTAAAAATCATGTGATTCAAAGATAACCCTGTTATCCTTATATAATTTTGCAACTTGCTCAAATCCATCCCTGGATTTGGTTCAAAATACTTAATGATCTTCGGATTAGAAATACCTAGGAATGGAGGAACGTGTTGGTTGTACAGCGTCCGATGAAGAACAATACTATCTTAATTGTACAATATGCTGCATTCGCTGGTGCTATTTTTACACAATGAAGAAACCGCTTTGCAGTAAAATAAGAACCAAATAAAATATTCAGCTTCTTCATTTTAAAAGAAAGATCCTTTTGTGTTGGTGAAGAGCTTAAGGGACAGGTAGCCTTAGGGAAACAGCAAGCTTGGCTTTCATTCAAAAGTCAGGAAGAGCCAGGGAGGAACATCCCTAGCTGGTACCACAGCCTGGTCCATGATTCTGGCCCAAGGACAGGCTTGTCATATGAATATCTTTCAGGGAGGGTATTTCAGAAGGAAGCCCTCTGTCCCCTCTTTTCTCCAGCCCTGGACTCTGCAGAGAGAGACAGATTAATTCCAGAACATTCCATTCCATAAAAGACTGTTCATTGACCTGTCAGAGAAAACTCCCCTTAAGCCACCTCCCCTCTGGATCCTCTTTGCTTTAGTGTGCCCCTGAAAATCTCACCCTCTGACTGGAAAATGAAATCAAGCCATTATTTATTTACAACCCACCTATCCCAAAGTGAAGAAATTGTACAGACAGTTTGGCTGGTCTCTGTAATTCTTAGAATAACACTTAAATTCCTAACAAACTACTGTGCACCCAATCTGGGTGAGTCTCAGATGCATTATGCTAAGGGAAGTGGTTCAGACTCAAAAGGCTACCTACTGTAGTTCCATTTATATGACATTCTATGCCAAGTAAAACCCGGGTAGGGTGGGGTAGGGGGACAGAAACAGTGGTTGCTAGGGCCTGGGGCAGGGGTGTGCAGAGGGGATATGAGGGAGTTGTTTGAGGTGATAGACTTGTGAAATGTCATGTTTATGATGGCAGTGACATGATTCTCTGCTTTCATCAATACTCAGAACTGTGCCCTAAAAGGTCAAATTCTACCTCCACGCATATTAAACCTGACTTTAAAAAAATTAAACTCCTATAATAATTACATCAGCAAGTCTATTCTGAAATAAGACAAACCACGAGGAGCTATCAACCTGCGTGAACTCTCCACTAACCTTTGAAGGTGGCAATTGGAACTCCATGTCCATAAAGTCAAATATGTCAAAGACAGGACCAGTGGTTCTTGCAGAAGGTGCCACATGGGGAAGGGGGTCCGACCATGGAGCCGCAGCTGGCTCACTCCGCCTTCCTTTCATGGAATGGATTCAACAGTGTTCCTTCGCTGTTCCTCAGAGGCAGGCACGAGCTGGGCCAGGCGGACGCTGCTGTAGAGCAAGATGGTGCTGCTGCTCATGAAGGGCACATCCTCTGGTGCTCCTGGGAAGGGGCAGGCTTGCTGCAGAGACATAAAGAAACAGTAACAGAGCAGGGAGAGGACTCGGGCCTGAGTGTGTCAGCCAGCCAGGGAGGGAGAGGAATCTGAGGACCTTCCTGGAGGAGGAAGACTGTAGGGTGATGGAGCCCAGGGCTGGGGGGGCGCTGAGGGTAGAGAATAAGACCCAGTTCCCACCCAGCTCCCCTGTTTTCTGCTCCCAACACACATCACTTCTGTGACCCCAAAAGATGTGGGGAGGGAAAGAACAAGCAATGGATTCTGTAGAGGCCACCTGCTCGGCAGCCTCCAATTCAATTCAACTCAATTCTGACACTCTCTGCCTGGAGAGTATTGGATCCCACAGGATGAAGGCTAGTCCCACCAGACTGTCCCCACTTTAGACACCGGTAGCAAGCTGTGGGCTCTGGACCTTCTGACCAGCTAGCAACCAATTCAGATTCCCAGGAACACTTCCTTGGGTTTGATTAATCTGCTAAAGAGGCTTACAGGACTCAGGGAAATCTATTTACAGGTGTATTATAAAGGATATCACAGAGAATACAGATGAAGAGATTCGCAGGGCAGAATGGGAAAGGGTACAGAGTTCCCATGCCCTACGGCCTCATAAGAGTCCCTCTCTGGGCGCCCTCCGGTGCCCTCTAGGAATTTCCTCATGGCCAGCTAAAGGCAGAAAGGTGGGGTAGATTAGTGTTTTTATGACTCACTTTCGGGGAGAGAAATTCAAGTTTTGGGGTCTGCCTTGGGAGGGAGCTGTGGACCAAACAAAATAAACAAACAAACAAAATATATGTGTGTAAAAATATATGTGTGTGTGTGTGTGTGTGTGTGTGTATGTATTAATATCACAAGACTCTTCTGCTTGCTTCCTTCCTTCGGCCAGTTTGAGGACCTGCTCTGCAGAAACACAGGCCATAGAGTGGGGGGAACAGCCGATATAATTTGGGGCCCTCAGAAGGTTTTAGAATTTAATAAATCTTTGATCAACAAATGAAGAGATTTCTGATTAAAAGAACAAAAGGTCCTGGGTGCTTGGGCTTCCTGATTTCATCAGCTTTAACCTGGGTCTCTGATACTTTTTACATCAGTAAAAAGGAAAATTCTGGTGCCAAACAGGGAACTATAACAGCAAGTGACGTGACTGTCCCTAGACTCTCCCGTTAGATCCCGTCAGTCCTAACCACCTCACCTTCACTCTCACATGGTCTGAGTTCTCTGTTCCATCAGGGAGATTGCTCCAGGGGATCCAAGTGGCTGTTCTCACACTTCACTGTGGGGTCAGCTTGCTAAATTACATAGAAAACAATTTCTTTTTTGGGGGGTGGGGGGATGGACAACACCGGGAATTGACCCAGGGACACTCTACCACTGAACTATATCCTCAGCCCTTTTTATTTCTTATTTTGAGTCAAGGTCTCATTAAGTTGCAGAAGCTGATCTCAAACTTGAGATCCTCCTGCCTCAGCCTCCGAGTTACTGGGATGACAGGTGTGCACCAATGCACCCAGCATACCAGCATAGGAAACAATTTCTAAATTGCCTGGGCATATTTTCCTATCTATGCCAATCCATCTATGTCATCACCATATGCAATAGGAAGAGACTCCATCCCACAGCACAAATCACTAGGCATTGGCCATACCAGCAAAGAAATCTGTTCCTAACAGATTCTATGTAGGATCCTCAGATTCCTCTGGACCAACAGAGCTGTGACCACTCCATCCCTCAGGCTGTTTCCATATACCATTTACCTGTATCCATTACGAAGATGGCCGTTTCATTCTCAGAGGGCCTGGTGTCTAGGTTTTGGGCAGCATTAATTATAAACATCAGCACCAAAGCTACTACTCAATTTCAAATATGTGACTATTTCTGAGATTTAGCCTCTGGGTAAATGAAATTTCAGTGTTTCATCATTACTCTGTTGATGGCAGTAATGAACTTGGGAATGACTCCTATTTATCCATCTTCTTACTAGATGTGGGCAGATGTATTGTGCTTAATTACATCAAGTAGGGTGGGAAATCATTCCTTCCAAAATAGTGATAACCTGGATCCCTTTCCACATAGAAGAACCCTATGGCCTCATAAGATTCCCAAACTCAAGCCTTTGAGTCCCACAAACCAGGCCCAGACACTCTAACTGGACTTCTGTTCACTAATGTTCCTTCAAGGTCAATAGGAAAGGAGCAAGAATGAAGGGGATCCCCAAAAGGACCCTGTTTCCATGAGAGGGCAAATGGGAAGGGGCATAGGAGGACATCTGCAAACAGCGGGTCAATGGAAGGGGGACTCTGTCTTTCAGGGTTATCTGTCAGAGGGGTTGGTGACAAAGTGGTACCGCTCTCCACGACTGCTCCTGTCCCCCAACAACTACACAAAAGCCATCGACATGTGGGCAGCCGGCTGCATCCTGGCCGAGATGCTCACGGGGAGAATGCTCTTTGCAGGTAAGTTGGTAACTGCTTCTCTTTAATGTCTTTCTGTTAAGAGGGGAAACTGAGTGCAAACACTTGCTTATCCCAAAACATGCTCCCCTTCTGCTGCAATGACTTCTTAGGCTTTATGGCACTTCTTGGAGTCACCCTATTATAATTCCAAGCAACACTGTAAAGACTAAAATTAGCCTTTTGAGCACAGAACCTTGGCAGTTGAGAAACCATTTTACTATGGTCTGAATGTGTGAGTCCCCCTAACATCCTATGTGGAAATCCTGTCTTAATCCCCCGCCCTGATGTGGTGGCATTAAGAGGTGGGACTTTAGGGAGGCAAAGCCCTCATGAATGGGATTAGTGCCTTTCTAAAAGGGACCCCAGAGATGTCCCTCTGCCTTCTATCACATAAGGATGCAGCAAGAAGGCACCATCTATGAGAGGGTCACCCAGGATGATTAGGACATAAACCTCCACATGGACTTATTTCATCAGCTTCTCCCAGAGACGGTCCCTGTCCCCCAGCTCCCAGAAGGCAAGGGAAGCCGAGATTGATTAAACACCCACTACAAGTGGGAGCCTCCATGCTGTCAGACTGGTCAGTCCATGTGTGGGGACTCCTCCTCATTCCACAAAAGAAGGAAATCAGAGAAGGTGAGGGCCGGGTCTGCCTCTGGGCATCTGCCATCAAAGCCCTTGCTTTCTGCCCCATCATGCAGCTTGCTGGACTCCCCTGGCTGCCTCCAACATGACCCCATTGACCCCTGGCAGGAACAGACAACTGAGGGGCTGGTTCTCTGCCCTCTCACCATGTTGCTGAAGAAGTGATTCCAAGCACCAGGCTGTGATCCCTGGTCTGTGTGTCACAGAGGAGCAGGTTGGGTTCTATGAGCAAGAACCAGGATCCTCTGTCTGCAGCTTGACCTTGTGTTCCCTTGGCAAGTAGTCTGGAGTGTTCATTTGAAAAAGGGACCCATAAAGGCCTCCCAGAGTCCCTGAACTGGCCTTCCAAGAATAAGCCCATTTCAGGGAGAGGCCAAAGGGCCCCCTGAAGCTGCAGACACTTGCTCAGCATGCAGCCACAGTATTTGAACATGCTTAGTACCACACAGGGCATCCTGAGGGACATGAGAAAGTCCCTACTGTAGACCACCAGCTTCTGGAAGACAGGGATTTCCATAGTAACCTGTGGGCAGGGGAGGCCCTCTGCAGGTGCTGGTCAGGGAGGCTTCTTGAGAAAGGAGAGGCGAGACTGGGGACTGAATCCAGCAGAGCTGAGTGGAAAGGCCACTCAGGCTAAAAAATAAAAAATGGAAGTGAGAACATTCGGGGGTCAGAAAAGGACAGCAGGGAGACGGCCCTGACTAGCACCAGCAATGGAGCACAGATGCACTCAGTGGTCTCCTGGAAGATGAGCTGAGTTGCTGAGACACACAGACTGAAGCTCCTGATGGACCAGAACTCTCTTGCTCATTCCAGCATGGCCACAGGACAAAGCACTCGACACACACTTAAGAATGAACACTTGGTTCCATCTTGTCCTGCCTCACTGCTCCCACAGAACCGGAGTAACTCGTTGGCCTCTCTGTGCCCAAAGAGCAGAGATGGTGTGCTCATGGCGCATTCCATACTCAGTCGACTATTCCTGATGTTCTTCCTCTTGAGTATTTTCTGGGTGGAATCCTCCTAATCAGAAATTACATTAAAACTGTTTCCTTCCCCAGCCTGGTAGGAAGTGTGCAAGAGGAGGAACACTCGAGAAGCCAGGGCTAGGCTGCTGTCATCATTAGCACTGGCCAGCTCAGTGTACATCAGACTGGCCCGCTCCAGGCACAGAATCACAGGGGACTGGCTGGGGTCCGGGGGACTACCAAATTCAACCACTTCTTTCTACATTTGACAAAACCAAGATGGCAAACAACCTGCAACAGTCATAGAGGAAGTTAGTGGCAAAGTGAAAACAAGAACCCAGGTGCCCTAACGCCCAGGCCAGTGCCATCCCACTGCCCTGTGTTCTCCCTCCCAGGCCAGCCGGAGCCTCTGCGGGGCTTCTACACACTGCAGCCACATCTAACCATCTGGTGTTTGCCTCCCCAGGGGCTCATGAGCTGGAGCAGATGCAGCTCATCCTGGAGACCATCCCTGTGATCCGGGAAGAAGACAAGGACGAGCTGCTCAGGGTGATGCCCGCCTTTGTCAACAGCACCTGGGAGGTGAAGCGGCCCCTGCGCAAGTTACTCCCCGAAGTGAACAGTGAAGGTACCTGCACCTGACCCCAGGCCAGCACCTCAAGGGGCAGAGTACTGGCTTCACCCTGAGGGCTGGGTGTAGACGGGTCTCCCAGAGAGCAGAGCACAGTCCTGGGTATGGGGTCAAGGTTCCCTTGGCAGTGGGCGTTGGCCTTCAATACGGGTTGAGAATCCCTAGTCTGAAAACCCAAAATCCATCGTGTTGGTGCCCCAAAAGTTTCAGATTGTGGAGCATTTCTGATTTCTGATTTTCAAATTAGGGATTTTCAACTGGTAACTTCTATGCAGATATTCCAAAATCTGAACAAATCTGCAATCTGAAGCTCTACTGCTCCAAGCATTTCAGACAAGGGCCGCACATCCTGTTCTTCCAGGTCCAGGGCTACCGCCCCTGGAGCTCAGCCCTAGCTGCCTTCAGGCACTTATTAGTGGCCTCCGTGTTCCACCCTGATTTTGCTTCCTGTTCCCTCTCATCATTCTTGTTTGCCTTCTTGCCTCTCTTCCTGTGTCCCCCTTACCTTTTTCCCATGGAAGGCAGATTGTGGTAAGGAGAACAGGAGGGCCAGACCCAGGTTCAGTCCTCAGTTCTCAAGTGACTGACTGTGTGCTGTGCATTTGAGGCCCCACAGAACTGGGATGAAGCCAAAGATCAGCCTGGCTATACTCTCAGAGACTCACAGGTCTCTGTCTAGGTGACAAGATCCCTCAGCTTCCCAAAAGGCCATCAATGACAGATGCTGGACAAAAGAGACAGGCCCAAGGCCAAACCAAGGGTGCCCAATTTTGAGCTCTATTTAAAACAAGTAAATATACCAAAAGGGACAAAAGTGATAAAGACAGTTGGCATACAGAACAGGTAAAGGGGGTGCTCTGGATGAGGCAAGGGGAGAGGCTCAGGGTCCTACGAGCTTGCCTCTCAACCTCTAGAGGTGCTCCTAGGAATCCTTCCAGAATACCTAGTCTGAGGAGCCCAGCTTGGAATCAGCTGGGCCAGAGGAAGGTGACAGATTGTACACAAGCTTCATTATATAAGAAATGCCTTAAAAACATTGGGGGAGGTTAATTTCAGCTTGGCTTTGCCAAGGACCAAGCTGTCAGTACATGGTATACCAGGCCTCCCTGGGTGGCCACCTGCAGCCAAAGCCAAGACTTCTGCAGTAGGCTCAGGCTTAAAGTGGGGTACATCACTGCTGCACTCCACCCCCTTGGCCCAGGTCATGCTGCCATCGCTTACTGCAGGAGGGGCTGGGAAAGGCAGGCAGAACTTGCTTGTTCAGGGGACCAGTGAAGGCAGAGCTGGGCCCAGGGCTGAAAGTTAAAGGGGACAGATCCAGGTCCCATGGAAGGAAGAATTTTCTACTATCTTGGGATTTCCAGAAGTGTCTGGGCAGCAACTGGAAGATGAGCTATCAGGGAGAGGGAAGAGAAGAATTTCATCCCAGAGAGTAGAGCAGCCTTGGGGGCCAGCACTTTCCAGCTCCAGGGTTCACTAGTCTTTCTCAGTGAGGATGACAATGGCAATGCTGCTACCAGTGTTTGGAGCTTGAATTCTCTATTGTCTTGTCAAAAGGTCCAGGGCCCCGAGAGAGGGGCCCCAAGAGAGGGACCAGAGGCCCAAGGAGGGAAAGACTTTCCCAGCCCTGCTTCTGGGCCCTGCCCTGCCTAACCCTTCCAGTCCTAAGAATGTATTAGGTGGATCCTATTCCGGGTCTGCAGCCCCAGACCCAGAAGCACCCTCTGAGTACCAGGAAGCGATCAGTTACTGCTGCTTACCTCATCTCTCTGCTGAGGGGTGCACAGTGACTCTCTGTCCTCCTAGGAGGCTAGTCACCTTCTGAATATATTGATTTCCTGAATCATTGATGACTTTTTCTGCAAAGAGATCCAGGGCGGGCATGAGGGCAGGTTAATGGAACGGGCTGAAGCCCACCCTGGATCCCTTGGAGGGACTGACAGCTCAGGCTTTGAGCTTAGCTCCATTTCCCCCTCAGAACAGGAGTGGCCAAGTCATGGTTTAAGCTGATCCTGCAGAGACTCCAGTGCTGAGGAGGACCACAAACCTCTAAAACAGGCCTTGCCCTGAGATGACCCAGGGCAGAGCTCACAGGACAGAGTGGCCACTGCCCCTCTCAGCATGACAGCTGTGCCTATGTGCAGGACTGAACCCCGACACCCCGTGGGCTGGGGCACTCTTGCTACCCTGCCATACCGGTTGGCAAACAACCACTGCACAAGGCCTCTGAGTGTCCTGTTGACAGGTTCCCACAGCCTAGAACTCTCCTTGATCAGCCACAGAAGGGTCATTGCCTGGCCCAGAGGGGAGCTGCAGCCTGGTTGTTCAATATTTTGAACATCAATCAAGCCACATACCTTTGTTCCTCAAACTCCCAGGGGCCAAATATGGTGCAAAGAGCCCTGGCCTTAGAGGAGGCCTTGGCCCTCCTTCCCCTCCACATTCTTCTTTTTTGGGGGGATAGGAGGTGGGGGGTGCTGGGGATTGCACTTAGGGACACTCAACCACTGAGCCACATCCCTAGCCCTATTTTGTATTTTATTTAGAGACAGGGTCTCACTGAGTTGCTGAGCACGTCACTTTGCTGAAGACGGCTTTGAACTTGTGATCCTCCTGCATCAGCCTCCCGAGCCACTGGGATTACAAGCATGTGCCACCGTGCCCGGCACATTCTCCTTTCTTTCTAAGGCTCCCCACTCCCTCTGCCTTCCCCCCCCCCCCAGCAGCCCTCAGCCCAGAAGAAGTGGGTGTGACTACCCCAGTTTCCCTGCCCCTCGAGGGCCACTTGTGAGGTGTGTTCCACACTCTCTCCAGGTGAATCCCAGTGGCACTGAGCCCCTGGTGACCCAGGAGTGACTGCTCAGCAGCATACCTTGTCCTGAATGCTCTCCCACTGCCCCAACCTGTGCTTCCTGGAATCCCCCACAGAGCAACTGCCAGGCCCCCATCCCTGGCTCTGAGAAGCCAGTGCAGGACAGGCTAGCCACCTCATCACTCTGGTTCTCTTCATTCATATACAAAGTCGCCATGCTGAGGGGTCTCCTCCTCAGCTTGGCAGGGGCAATGTGTGACTTTCGTGTCCTGCTTTGCTCCCCACAGCCATCGACTTTCTAGAGAAGATCCTGACCTTTAACCCCATGGATCGCCTAACGGCTGAGATGGGGCTGCAGCACCCTTACATGAGCCCGTACTCCTGTCCTGAGGACGAACCCATATCACAACACCCCTTCCGCATTGAGGATGAGATTGATGACATCGTGCTGATGGCTGCCAATCAGAGTCAGCTCTCCAACTGGGACAGGTAGGTTCCGGGGGCTTCTTGCCCTGTTGTCTAGAGCCACGTTCCCCTGTCCTCTCATTTCTATTTTGTCTCTCATCCTCTGTGACCTTTTCCACTGTCTCCTGAGTTGTCTGGCCCATCATGTGCTTCCCCTGTGCTGCCTGTGTAGGTCAGGGGCTGCTTTTATGCAACACGGCCACCTTGAGCTCCTCAGCACCCTGAGTCTACTGAATGTGCGTTCAGTATGCACAGTGGGCCCTGAGTGAGTACTCGCTGGAGGATCTTACTCCTAGCAGGCTGGGAGTTTACCCTTGAGAAGCCAAAGGGAACAGTATAAGAAGTATACAAAGAAGTACAAGAAGTACACAAGACAACTCAGAATTTACAACTGCAGACGCTTGCTCATGTTTTCTGTCATCTACACTTCCTGAGAGTGCCATTAAAGGAGGTTGCATTGGCCGTAAGGAAGCCTCAGCTCAGAGAGGTTGGGAGTGGTGTTCTGTCACATAGCTAATAGGTATGGGGCCTCCCCAGTCTGCCTCCCTGTCAGTGCACTGCAAAGCAATCATAGAACTCTTTCCTACTAAACTGGGCTTGGCCTCAGGATCCTTCACGAGTATCCCCTGAAGCCACTACCAATGAATCAGTGTTGGGTAGAAGATAACATTTCTAAACAATTTCTGCCTGGGCACATAATGATCTCATAGATCCTTCCCTATTCTGACGTTCTTAGATCAGACAGCCACACACTTGGGCTTCGCCATCTGCTAACTCCAGGAGGCGGGGCCCATAGCTTCTCAGTTTAGAAACAGCAGTGGAGGCTCAACAGCTCGGGCTCCGAGGGGACCTAACTGGGAGTCCCGCTGCCATGGGAATGTGACAGCTAGTTATATAAGTGACAGATGAGCAATTCCTCCTTTTTAGTCATTTGACAGATGATGGGTTTCAGAATAAGGAGGCACAGAGGGAGGGCCAGGCCAATGCTGCTATTCTGGGACAGGTCTGCTGGTTTGTTGTTGTTGTCAATTGTTGTTTTCAAGTGTTGCCAGAAAATAAAGATTAATGAAGGTTCTCTCATCTGCCACCCCCAAGCTGGGCCTGCCCTGGACTATGTTCCCTGCAGCCCCTCCCCTCCACTCCACAGAATTTGAGGGCATAAACAGTGGCTTATAAAGGCTCATGCTACTTGTAAGGTGGCTATGGCCAGGGCCAAAGTCAGAGAAAACTGTAGCAGGGATCCTAGGCCACTGTCCATCATCTGACCAACACTAAACTGGATACACCTATGCTCCCAAACTTCCCCGTCACACTTGCATTAAGGAAAAGGATGGCAAAGGTTGTGACAAGTGCCTTGCTCCAGGCCTGCTCCTGTGGGCACTGCTTCACCTCTTGGCTTGCTAGTTTCCTCTCCTATAAAGCAGCGGTGACACTAAGTCTGCAGGGTTGCTGTGAAGACTAGAGATAACGGATGTTTGGTACTTGGTGTGTAGCAGCCAAAGGTCAGGTCTTCGTATGCTCTTCCTTCTAGAGATCTCTGTAATTCCGAGACCACTCAAGGGAGGAGGCAGTTCCAAGGTCTAGGAGTGATTACTGCCCTATGTGTCAGGGGGAGGAGGGCAGTAGTAAGGCCTTCCCATGCCTCTCTAACCACTCTCTGTGAACTGCGGCTGCCTGGCCTGCCCCTTCACACAGTCACCCTTCTTGTCCTTGGCTTATCTAATTGTCCTGTGTGAGCACCAGATGAACTGCTCAGGAAGCAGCTGGCCAGGGGCTGCTGCCTCCTGGGTGCTCACTCCTGACTCCCCTCACCCCACCCTGGCTCTGCACAGAGCACCTGACAAAAGGAAGGAGAGCTGACACCTGTCTGCTTGCACATCTGCCCTTCGTTTGCGCTCGGCCATCTGACTTTACTCTCCATGGCTGCAGCGCAGTTGGCAGAGGGCAGCATTCTAAGGATCATTTTGGCCTCTCCCAATAGTGTCGTGATCTTTCTGTAGGTCACATCTGCTCTAGTCAATGCACGAGCTGCAGGGCCTCATCCAGATCCACAATGCCAGGGGCTCTCAGCCCTATGGCTTAGACACCCCTGTAAAACTTCAGAAAGTTTTACAAACTTGCTGAAGCAGGACCCCATCTTAGACCTACTGGATCAATGAGGCAGGCCTGATACCTTATTAATTCCCCTATTTGATTCTAATGTGAGCAAAGACTCATTAAGTCTTGCTATTCAAAGTGTGATCTAAGAAGCAGCAGCAACAACAATAGGGTGCCTGTCAGAAATGCAGAATCCCAGGCCCCACCTTGGAGCCATTGAAACAAGGCCTACATTTAAATAAGATCCCCAGGTGATTTGTATGTATATTAAAGTTTGAAGATTGCCATTAAAAAATAAAATAAAATTATGGTATTAGCCAGTAAGTGGATGGAAATGGACAATATCATTCTAAGTGAAATAAGCCATACTCAGAAACTCAAAGGTCAAATGTTTTTCTCTCATTGGCGGAAGCTAGAGTAAAAGAAAGGAAACGGAGAGGGAAGGATAGGATAATATAAAGAACCAACCAAATAGAAATTAATAAACAAGCCAATGGGATTCAAGTAGAGGAAGGAGAATGGGAGAGGGGAGGAGGGGAGAGAAAAGGGGGGGGGGGGATCATGAACTGAAATTGATTTCCATGCATGTAAAACCATAAAGCTCTAATAAAAAAGAAAAACTGTGAGGGTCATTATTTAGGAGGATCCGTTAGAAAGTTCCATGAGGACAGGGATTTGATTTGTTTACAGCAGTATCCAGTAATGTCTGGAGCCAGTAAGTGGATGGAAATGGATAATATCATTAAATAAGTCATACTCAGAAACGGCATCTATAGTGGGAGCTCAAGAATATTGGTAGGGCTGTGAATGAATTCAAGGATAAGTTGAACAACCATTCCCCCTAGCTGAGCCCTTCTAGACCCATCTGTACCTGCGCCACCACCTTCCCACCTGGGGAGATGGGAGGGCCCAGCAGGAGGGTCTGGGGGCGGAGCGGATGGAAAGCAGGCTTGCAAATGGCAGGCAGGGATTGGGTTCCCTCCCGGAAGCCATCCCGCCTGGGTGTCCCATCACCGCTTTGTGTGCACCCTTGCAGGTATCCGGTGAGTCTGTCCTCAGATCTGGAGTGGCGGCCCGATCGACGCCAGGACTCCAGCGAGGTGCAGCGCGACCCGCGCGCTGGGTCGGCGCCGCTGGCGGAGGACGTGCAGGTGGACCCGCGCAAGGACTCCCAGAGCAGTTCCGAGCGCTTCCTGGAGCAGTCTCACTCGTCCATGGAGCGCGCCTTCGAGACGGACTACGGGCGTTCCTGCGACTACAAGGTGGGGTCGCCGTCCTACCTGGACAAGCTGCTGTGGCGCGACAACAAGCCGCACCACTACTCGGAGCCCAAACTCATCCTGGACCTGTCACACTGGAAGCAAACAGCCGGCGCACCCCCGATGGCCGGGGTGGCAGCGGACGCGGTGGCGCACGAGGACGAGCCCGCCAGCCTCTTCCTGGAGATCGCGCAGTGGGTCAAGAGCACGCAGGGCGGCCTGGATCACGCCAGCCCGCCCCCAGAAGGGCCAGAGCGCCGCCTGTCCTCCTCTCCCCCGGAGAGCCAGACCCCGGTAGACCGAGGCGCCAGCCCTCAGTTTGACCTGGACGTGTTTATCTCCCGCGCCCTGAAGCTCTGCACCAAGCCCGAGGATCTGCCAGACAATAAATTGGGCGATCTCAACGGCGCATGCATCTCTGAGCACCCAGGAGACCTTGTGCAGACGGAGGCCTTCTCCAAAGAAAGGTGGTGAGGCCAGAACGGAAGATCTAGGCCTCAGCCACTGGAGAGGGAGGCCACCCCAGAGAAGCCGGCATGGCAGGAGGCCACCTCCCTGGCACCTCTGCCACCCTTCCCGCCCCTCTCTGCTGCCTTGGAGTCAGCAGAACACATGAAGGATCCGAGGAGCGAGAGGAATGTGTATTTCTTAAACTGCCTTAATAACTAGCCTTTAACCTCTGGGAGAGGGTTGATCAGGAGCCTGGCTGAGAGGGAGGCCTGGTTTTAGAAGTGGTGGAGGCAGGGAAGAAACACCTCTTAGACAGGAGTCTGCAGTCCCTACATGGGTGGTAGGGTGCAGAGGCAGCTTGCAGACTTAGTTTTGAAGCCATCTGGTCCACCTAGCCTCAACCAATAACTGAGGACAACACTTAGGCCCAGAGAAGCAAAATTACTTGCTTAGGACCACAGGCCTCCTCAGTCTTAGGGTGAGCCTTGAATCCCAGTCTCCTGGCCCCCAGGTCAGTGTCTGTCCACAATATCATGTCTTCCTCTTCTGGGGTCACTCTGACTTTTTGGTAAGAAAACTTAGTCCAAGATGTTTCTTCCCAGTCCATCACCATCTGACCCATGCAATGTTCTTTCCTTCAGAACATTGTTTCTTGTATACTGAAATTTGAAACGGAACTAGTTCTTTCTCCTAGTCGCCAAGCATATTTTTTTTTTCTGGCTCTCCAAGTAGTTAAATGTTCTCATCTGCCACCCTGCTGCATTTGCCTCCTCCCTGCATGGTCTGAAATCTTTGTTTCAGATTAGAGCAGTTTGAGGCCTGACTCAGTCACTCTCCCAGGCCTGTGCATCTGCCTCCTCCAGCAGCCCTATGCACTTTCCTGACATGCGCAAAGACACAGCCCTCATTCCCCAATGGATGTCGGACACGGGTGAGTTTGAAGAAAGCAATTCCAAGAATCCCTCCAATCTACCCCACAGTCCCCCACCACCCCTGCCCACATGCACACAGCCCCTCTCCAGCCTACCTCGGGACCAAATGTTCTTGGCACAAATTGCTCCTTTGGAGGAAAGCAGTGAGGTGCCTGCCATAGATCAGAGGGTTTAGGATGGAAGGTTCACATGGGACCTGTCATCCTTCATTAATACCATCTTGATTTTGATCATCCATTTAGCCTTGGCTAAGAGCAAGCCCTGAAGAAGTGCACTGGAGGGCTAGCAACCTTGGAGCAAGGAGCCCAGAAAGGTACGAAGATGTAGAAGGAGGGGTGCCAACTTCAAGGGCCCTCAGGGGTATGTATCAGCATGGATGGAGACCCCACAATAAAGAAAGGGACTCAACACCGCCATGCCCTCATACCTCCTCTTAGCCTAAGATGGACCACACAGGCCCTCTACAGAAGTATGTGGTGGGGACAAGTACCCCAGTCCGGTCCCTGGAATACTCTTCCATTTGTACCACTGGTGTCCATCTCTTCCCTTCCCCACAATACCCCAAAGATACCTACAGGAAGACTAGTCAGTCTGTAGGGAGAGGATCCCCCAGTGTTGGGCCTGGACTGTGTTCCCCCTCCCTTCACAGCACCTTAAATCTAATCAGCAAACTATGATTTGTGAATTAAAACTTGCAACACATTAGAAAATTATATTTAAAAATAAAATTAATCACACTGATGAGTTTTTAAATGGAAAAAAATGTAAATATGAAGTATTTAGGTTTTGCTTTTTTTTTTTCTTTTAAGAAAAGGAAATGTACACCTCTCCTCATGTGCCATTTTGTTCTCAGAGGGCGGCTTTACTTTTTGGGAAAAGGAACAAGCTGCTGACCTTGACCAGGAGTTCATATATAATTATTATTACAGAGGAATTGTTATAACTACTCATATTTTAAGAAAATCTGTTAAACATTATTGAACTTGATCAGAATGGGCCAAATAAAGTTTTACTGAAACACGGATTCATCATGTGTGATTACATTCATTTATGTCTTATCTGCCCAGTCTTTGACAGTGATTGATTCACTTAGGGCCTAGCTAACTTCTCCCTGAATCATGAAGTTCCGTGTTTTGAAAGGTTGAAGATGGGGGATCTGAGAGAGGAGAATCTACACAAACTGGAAGTGATTCCAGAACCCTAAGGTGATGCATGGCATCCATGCTGTGGGTTTCTAGGCACATCTTGGAGTCAACTCCAAACCTTCTGATGAGGGCTGGTCCTTTCCTCTAGGCATAAAAGGTGCAAAAACCATAAGATGTGAGGGAACCAGCTGCCCAGAAACACCTGCCTGAGCCACACCTCACAGGTGCCTAAGATACCACCCATCTGAAGTTGCTCCCTCTATAACACTTATGTCAAAACATTTGCTCTAACTTCATTCATTGTTAATATGTATAGACAATAGAGTTTAAGAATTTTGTTTTTGTTCTTTGTAACTTCCCTGAAAGGCCTTTTGGTTAAAACACTTACTCCTGTTGAAATGCATCTGGGCCAAGAACAGTTCGTTCAAATCCTCTTCAAAGCATCAACTGAGAGTATTCCCACTTTGTCCACTGTTTCAATTTCTGAGTTACCCACAGTTGACTGCAGTCTGAAAATATTACATAAAAAATTCCAGAAATAATTCACTAGTTTAACATTTCGCGCCATGATGACATTTCATGAAGTCCTGCTCTGTCCTACCTGGCACAGGAATCATTCCTTTGTCCCATGTATCCACTCTGTATATACTACCCACTCATTAGTCACTTAGTTGTCATCTCAGTTATCAAATCAGCTGTCAATGTATCCAGTGCTTATAAACAGGGCTGGGTACTATCCATAGTTTCAGGTATCCACTGGGGCATCTTGAAAGGCATCCTTCCTTGGATAAAGGGAGACTACTGTAGCAGAGACTCTTTGCTAATGGATAAGAGTAAAGATAGAGGCCCAGAATTTACTTCTGGAATGTTCATTTTTCAAACATGGAAACTTCCAGGGAAAAGTCTCCAAAGGTACAAGAAGGACCTCAGTCTTAAGCTCATCCTGATAAGAGGAAGAAAAGTACAGACATTTCAGATAAAACAAAACAAATGTAATATCACTTTAAACAGTTCTGAAAATCTATTTCTATATTAAACACCTTAACAAAGCAAGAAAATTTAGAGAACTTTGAACTTGTGATGAGAATCAAAGGAAAGAATATGCCAAGGAGAAAAAATGAGGACTCAAAAGAGGAAATCGTTTTTTTAGCCAGTGAAGTGTGAAGAGAAAAACTGAACCCAGTATCACTATAAAACCCAAGCATTTACCCACTGCTTCATTCTGGTTTTTTAAATATGTAATAATTGGAAGACTGTCATACATTTGTAACATTGTGAAATTTCCTGCCATACGTAGAAATGCCAAACTGTAAAATGATGATGTTTGCCCTGGGTCCTGCATTCATTTGTTTCATTATTCATTTATTCAACCAAGAAATCATTTTGCACCTAACTCCAGATGCCTGAGATATAAAGATGAATAAGATGCAATCCTTCCTTTTAAAGAATTCTTATTTTAATGGGGGAGAGAGACAGAACAAACACTTGCTACCTAACGAACTACATTTTCCAGCATGATGATGGCTGTAGTCACCAAATGCTGGAAAACACAATCTTCTCCGCTGGACACCTGTTCCATTACATGGTGTGCAGTGGAGGGGAAGATGTAAAAATGTTTTATCGGAATAGGTGGAGCCCTGAGCTGAATTTAAATGGCTGCAGTGTGAATGAATGGAGCTGTGGGAACAATGGCATTGATTTGGCTGGATTTCATTCTTTAGAAATGCTGCGTAGGCAGTGTTATCTACTCCAGCAGAAAGTAATGCTTAAAAAGAATAAAATCTCACCTTGTATCCATAGGATGGTGCAAAGTGCCTAGGCTATCTAGTGGAAATCAGTTGAATTGTAACAGTGCAACATTTCTTCAATATATAATTACAGTGAGAAAACATTTATATGAAGGATAAATAGCAAGTATTTTTGATATTTTGAATTCCAGGTTTAAATCAGCATAATGGAAAGAACATAGTTCGGGGTCCAAATCATGGCTGTCACTTATTAGCTAGTGAATTTGGGCAAATTATTTTACCTGCATAAGCATCAGGATGTCCTTCTCAAATATGGGGAAATGATGGTGTCTTCTCTATATGATTATAAGGCTTTTGAGGAAATTATTTATAAGGGATAAAGTATGTGCCTACCATAAAACAGACACTCAGAAACTGATAATTATTGTTATTAACACATTTAACACATTAAGCATTTTTGAAATGTCTAGCGTTTAAAAAAAAAAAAAGGCTCAGAGCAAGGGCAGAGGCCTGGTTGAAGTTTTCTATGGGAGAAAGCTTGAGGCTCAATTTCAGGCTTAGGCTACCAGAATGTAGGAAGTGGGGTGTAGGGCAAAGGGAACTGAGAGACCCACACAGCAAATAGCACCAAAGAGGAAGGACAACAAATGAGGAGGGTGGAAACCCCATCCCCCAAGGAAATATGTCACGGTGGCATCTATACACCACTGATGTTAGGCTTAAAACTTCTCTTGAGAGAATCCCAGGAGAGTCTGTGCACATCAGAGGAGTCAGCAAACTATTCTCCAAGGCAAAGAGCTTAACATTCCTTCACATGTTATGTGAGCCTGTCTTTATTTAAAATTTTGATATTTTGCTGTTCATGGATTTTTGGCAGTAATTTTTTTAATTTAAAAATACTGCATTAAAATATTTACCTTGATTACTGAGATTATGGGCACCCTTAAATTCTGCATCTAAGATGGGTGCCTCACCCACCTCGACCCTTGTCGTCCCTGGTCTGTGGCTGCTTCCATCCCAGAGGGGCAAAGCTGACTAGCTGCAATGGAGACCTCATGGCTCCCAGGCTGACCTTTTGCAGAAAAAGTTTGCTGATCCCCCATGTAAGAGGCCACAGGGTCTCCACACCATTGTGAATGAGCATGTGGCTGGCCTGGTCTTCTCCAGCCACAAGCATTCCTCTTCAGAAATGTCAGATT